TATATTGAATGGAACAATTTATATTTTTAATATATATTTATTTATAAATATGTCACTATATGTCAACTTAATTTTTGTTCCGTTGAATGCTCCAATTTACATAATGTTTGTTGATGCATTGAATGCAACAAGTTGAAACAAATGTATGGATAGTATTGTTCCTTTATATATATAAATACAATTCACACCATTTGTCACATTAATTTACACAGAATGCAACAATTGAATATGACTATATATTATTTTTTATTTATTTTTTATTGGCACTGAATGAGACAAATGACAAAATGTTTGTTGATGCATTAAATGGAACAGTTAATATATATATATTTTTTTTTTTTGCATTGAAAATGTAAATTTCATTTTTGTTGCATTAAATGTGCAAATTTAAGTAAGAATGTTTGTTGTTGCATTGAATGCAACAAGTGGCAGCAAATATCTGGATATTATTGTTCCCCTGAATACAATTTACACCATTTTTGTCACATTAAATATAATTCATGTAATAAATTGTATTGCACGGAATGCAACAATTGAATGCAACTATTTATTTATTTATTTTCTTTGCACTGAATGCGGCAAATTGCAAAATTTTTGTTGGTGCATTAAATGGAACAATATATGAATATTTTTGTTTCATGACAATTACACTTATTGAATTAAATGTGCCAATTTACTTAAGAAGGTTGGTGCATTTAATGTTTTTGGTGCAATTAATATTTTTGTCACATATGCATAAGAATATTTTGTTACATGTAATGCAACAGTTCAAGTGAATACTAAATTGTTGTTGCATTGAATGTGAAAATTCACATGATGTTTTTGTAAACAATATTGAATAGAAGAATTGAACTGAATACATCGATTTATGTTAGAATGGAAAATTGTGTTACAAACAATTAAATCAGAAATTCATTCTGCTTGTGAAAGAGCCCCAATGAAACTAATTACCTGAAAAGTGAAAACAGAATATATCCAGTGTTTCTGGAAAGCAAATCTTGCATGTGTACAAAAATCCCCCTGTACCACACAGTGCTCTTCATCTGTCTCCAGGCAAACGCAGAACAAACAGAAGCTAAACAGATGTAATTTGCCAGATACAGACAGCTACGTTCAAACCCACGTGATTGGAGATGGCACAGGACAATCCCACAGTCCCACTGGGCCGACTGAGCTCTCATCTTGAAGTAACCATAGCATAAAAAGACAAGCATGCCTGCTGAAGAGAGAAAAAAACACCACATACAATCTAAATCGATACTGTCATTATCAGAGGACCCAAGCTGAATTAGATGTCACACCACCAGGGGCAACAGGCTTGACGCACGCTTAGATTATGAGAGCAGGTGATGTATTGAGATGGTCTGGCCCTTTAAATGAGCAGACTTGCCTGACTGCAGCGATTATAGATTAGCAGTTAGACTCGCACAGATGATCAAGCAGTGAACTTAGTAAATGGAATACAATATCACAACAGCAGGCGTTCGACTGCATCTCCATTAAAAGGAAGGCAAACTGAGTTCTGCTGCTGCACCACATTAAAAATGACTGTCAATCAGTTCAATCAAAAGAGTGATTGGGGTAGAAGGTTGAAATAAGTTGAAATGGTGTTAACTTTTTAAATGGAAGAAAAAAATGAATATTTTTAAAGGAAAATATTTGTTAATGAAGTGTTTTTTGACGGTCAATGACAAAGATTAGACAAAAATTTTCATCTTTACTGTAATTAAATGATGTAAATAAAAACAACTGCTGATGAAAATGACACCATTTACAATGTTCTCGAAGAAGAATGACTTTCAAATAATCAATTAAGTCAATATTAATTGATGTGCTTTGTGTGCTGAAGCTGAACATAACGATAAAATGAAGCATTTTGCTAGACTTAACACCCAAATGCACCAAATACATGTGAAATGAATGACCTTTACAAACGTAATATTACAATACATGTAATCTGACACAAATGCACGACTGATCTTGAAAGTCACATCATAGTCAGAATGTTTTGTGAATACTTCCTTTTTGTAATAAAATGCTAAAACATGAACAATGAATATCTAAAGCATAAAGAATTCGCAATGTTGCATTCACAACATCACTTACAGTAACATTTGTACTCGGATTTTAAAATGTAAATATCAACTCTTAATATTTCTTAAATATATCTAATATTCATGTTTTAAATAGTTTAAGTACATATGCAGCAATAATGTGAAAACACTTTTTGCTTCTTTTTTTATTTATATGCGTGTAAAAAATGTGTCTAAACTTGGCAGTCTAGTCGAACGAGTCAAAAATGGCATCTGTTCTTATCTACAGTTCTTTCCAGGAATGGCATTGTGGAATACAGCATCTCTAACAATGTTTTGTGAATACGCACTTTTTGTAACAAAACGCTAAAACATGAACAATGAAAAAACTAAAGTATAAAGAATTTGCAATGTTGTATTCACAACATTACTCGTTGTAACAACTTGTACTTATTATAATCATATTTCAGGAGCTTCGGTTTTAAATTTAAAAGATATTTTCAACAAAACAAAAACAATAACTTGTGTAATATTGCTTAAAGGGATAGCTCACCCAAAAATGAAAATTCTGTCATTAATTACTCACCCTCATGTCTTTCCAAAGTGTCGAAGACTGACACGGAAGAGAAGAAATTGTTGAATAAAGTCGTTATTTTGGGGGGTTTCTTGCGCACAAATAGTATTCTCGCAGCCCCATTGAACCACTGCTGTCACATGGACTATTTTAACGATGTCTTTACTACCTTTCTGGGCTTTGAACGTTTCAGTTGCATTGCTGTCTATGCAGGGTCAGAAGCTCTCGGATTTCATCACAAGTATCTTCATTTGTTCCAAAGATGAACAAAGGTCTTAAGGGTTTGGAACGACATGAGGATGAGAAATTAATGACAGAATTTTCCTTTAACTATATGTTAATTTTTAATAGTTTAAGTACATATTATGCAACAATAATCTGAAATAAAAACAACTTTTTGCATTTTTTTTTTTATTCATTTGTGTGTAAAAATGGTCTTAACTCTTGGCATTCTGGTCAAATCAAAAAACTGCATATGATATTATCTACAGTTCGTTCCTACAGGAAGTTGAAGTTGAGTGCACAGAATTGTGGGATATAGTATCTCTCACAGTGTATTCAATGTATTTTTCTCTATACAGAAAATCAGCAGATATACTGAACAGCCATTCTTTATGAAATACTTTGAGTATTGAATTTGTTTCCTACAAACATTATATGCACCATCTGTGTTTAGCATTGAAAAGAACCTAGAAAAACTTGATCGTAAAACGGTAAACGAGAGCAAAAATGCTAACTAACACATAGCTTTGTTCTACATTAAGACATCAGGTGTAAATCTCCTCGCCAACGGTCTTATTCCAAGCAAGAAGGGTTTATATGAAAAACAAAAGACCAGGGGAGAAGACCTGCTCCCTCCCCCTGTGCCAGCGTAATGGCGGGTGGATACAGATGTCTGGAGCACATGATTCACGCTCCAGACGAGGTATTGATTTGGTCTGGGTCCCTGCTCTGATTTATTGTGTCATTTTTGTTTATAAAGGTAGATCGAGAACACGAGTGTTTCGATTTAAGTGTGCAAAATAAAAGCAGCGTGGAGCAACGCTGCCGTCTGGCCTGTGATGAATTGCAGCATCCGGAACCCAACTTTGAAACAGGCTAGAGGATTGTCTTCATCAGACAAGACAAGACAGGACGTCCATCACAGGGCGACCATCCAACACAGAGACTCAATAACGGCACAGAGCGAGAAAGCGGTGAAATGAAGGACTGCTGAAGGGGGAGTTAGACAACCTTTGTTTTAGGCAAAGAAAAGAAACTTTCGGACCCATGCGACTAGTGGTTTAAGCCTCACAGCCAACAGACTTGAAAGTGACAAAATATTCATTGAAAATATACGTTCACATTTAGGTTTTATTGCACGCAAGTTTTGCTTTCAAATCCGGTCTTTTGATGCCGAGAAACACTCTTATGCAACTGCTAATGTAGAAAAGGGTTTGTTGTGGAACGAGAGACAAAAACTGAAAATGTTTCCTCTGCTCATGTCCATTATGACATCTCACCCAGAGATTTCATAATGATGCACAATACAGCATAAGCAATGGAGCGTTACTGTGTTTTTACTCATATATTTATGTACATGCTGTGTCTGCAATCTTTAAATTGTTCATTAGTTCGCTATTCACTATATAGCAAACACCATATATTCAGTACATGGGGAAACGATGAGTGAAAATGTGTGAATTTGAACACTACATGACATCCGGGATAACCAAAAACAATTTAAATTTCCAAAATACCACCTTCAATAAAATGTCAAACCACATATGTGTGTGGCTCAGATTGCATGCACTTTTTAATGTTTTAAATGACAACAGAAAAATATCTTCTTTTGAAGAGAAAGAAAAGATCTTTTCAATGCTTGGGTAAACACTTAGTATCACAAAAGTAGTACTTAATTATAAAAACAATAGTCTCAAAGCATATTCGAAAACAAAGAGATACATACAGAAATAAATGAAGGTCATGGAATGTTTTAAAGTGCATGCAAAATTCAGCAAATTCAGACTAATTTAAAAGAAAAAAGGCAAAAGCTGAGAAATTCAGTGCAAGGATCAATGTTTTTAAAAGTGGAAGGGCTGAAGCACATGAACATGTGATACAGAATTAAGTGTCAACTAAAAGGATCAAGTAAAAGGCAAAGCAATTTCATATCTAGGAAGGATGGATGGGTCACAAGCGAAAGGATTTACAGAGTGGGAAATGGTATTTTTTTTTAACACTTTTCTTGCCAAACAAATCTAAATTCATTTTTGGCCAAATCAGTTTTGCCAAAATTATTGACACTTCAAACTTTCTGAAGTTTTTTCCCACTCTGAAAGAGAACAAAACGTCAGAACCATTAAAAGAGGGAATAAACAATCGTGCAGGGCGAAAGAGAGAGAGAAAGCAAATACAGAACTACACAAGTGTTTATTGAGCATGCTACAGATAAAAGCAGAAAACAGGAAAGAGAAAGAGAAATCAAAACACACAACAGAGTCAAATCTTCCCGCTTTTGTTAGAAAAATTATTTTAATTGTGCCACATCTAAAACTATGCCGAATCATACATTCCTGCAGGGTTTAAAAAAAACAAAAATATACACAATCCTTTTGTCCCTCTCATAAATCGTAGTGTGGATTGCCAATCAATATTATTTATTTTTTACAGCTCTTCTCATAAGCCTGTCCATGAGTCTCTTTTCTTCTAAAAAGTGAACTAAAATGCTCAATCTTGGAGTAAATTAAGACTTTAGGCACATAAACTTTGGTCCCATCTACTGTACTCGTCTTTCAAAAAAAAATAAAAATAAAATAAAATTCACACAAAGTGATTTCCAATCCATGCAACACTAGGAATAAAGATGCACCTGTTGGTACATGCAGAGAAAAGTATGTCATAACCTTCCACTTAGGATAAAGACAATGCACATAGATGAAAGAAAAGCTAGGAAAATGGTGTAAAATGAGCAAATAAAAAGGGTTCATTCTCTTGTTTCCTTTCAAACAACATAAGGTTTAGCGGGATTGGTGGGTTAAGAATGGGCCTAACATCTCATAGTGACAATCACTAGAGAATCACAGTTTTATTTAAAATTCTTAAATCAAAATGTCACAGACATTAAGAACTGAACAAACAAACTGCAAAAAATTTAAATAAAAAGGAAAACGTCTTGAGAGGCTTTTACACATTATACAGATCTGACACAAAAGGGGAAAAAAAATAATTGTTTTAACAAAACAAATCTCACGCTCAGATGACTGCCTGGGTTTGAGAATATGAAGTATGAAAAGATTTCTGTAAGTTTTGTAAGGCACATTCTTTTCGGTTTATTGTAAGAGGTTCAGACTTTACACCAAAACACCTTTCCGCCACTGAAGAGGTTATGTGTCAGAGCGCTGACAAGAGGAAACGGGGTAAAAAAAAAATGCCCTTGAAAACAGTCACAATATTTCCTTCTTTCAACAACTTCTTGTGGAATGAAACTTGGGAAAATAAATTCTCAAAATTGTGGTCCCCAGTGTATTTAAACAGTCAACAGGTAACGGTAGAAAAGCAGTTGGGAGCAAGACCTCTCGGGTTGCTTTAGATGGTTGATTTGGAGAAGGAGACCTTCAGGTGGTGGTTATTACCCATGTTGTAATTATGGAGGTCGATGAGGCATTGAATAGCTTCCTCAATGGTTGTCATCTGAATTAGGGCCATTTTATGATCTCTGCAGAGAAAAAGGCCGGCAAAAACGGTCACACGAATGAAAGAAAAGGCAAAAGCATCATTTGATGAGGATCTGAACGGGGACAGACTTACTGGAAAAACTTGAAAGCTTTCACAGTGCCACCGGAGTTGGAGAACAGGACTCTGAGGTCTTCTTCAGTTATGTCTTGCCTTCAAAACATGACAGAAAAATGACTTAGCTCCCCGACGACTGACACAAAGATTGACAAGTGCCGAATACAGCTTTTTACTCACGGGATGTTTGACAGATGCAGCGTGGCAGAAGGAGGGAAAATGTTCTGGAAGTTCTTGGACCCTGGCTTTTTGAAACGATGCAGTGGTGAGTTTGTGAAGTCTTTCGTGAGACCCTGGTCGTCTAAACCGTCCCTCGGTAACTGAACGGTTTGGTGCTTCGACATCGTAACGCGAATGATCTTTGAATACATCTTCTGACCGTTTAGATGGCTCATTGCTGAGGCACATCCAAACAAAAAGAAATGAAAGGGTTAGAAATGAGAGGTCTCTTATGCTTATGAAGGCTACTTTTTTTTTTTTATCAAAAACACAGTAAAAACAGTAATACTGTGAAATATTATTTGAACGTATTTTAAAATGTCATTTATTCTTGTGATGGCAAAGCTGAATTTTCAGCAGCCATTACACATTCAGAAATCATTCTAATATGCTGATGTGGTGCACAAGAAAGATTTCTTATTATTAATGTTGAAAAGTTTATTTCAAAGGAGATCATGATACTTTTTTGATACTTTGATGAATAGAAAATGCAAAAAAATGTATTTATTTGAAATAGAAATCTTTTGTAACATTATAAACGTCTTTACTGTTGATTTTGATCTATTTCATGCATTCTTGTTGAATAAAAGTATTAATTTTTTTTTTTTTAAATCATCAAACACCAGTGTATTTTGCAACTTAATTGAATCTGACTGGCGTGTAAACTTAGCCATGACAATAACGGCTGTGCTGTTAGGGATGTTTCAGTATGCAGTCTTACCAAGCTGAGCCTGGTTCATATCGGCCATCTGTATCAGTGCGCTGTCTTTCTTATTAAAAAGAATCTTCACACGCTGCACATCCCCATAAACCCCTGCGAACAGAGCAGCCAGCAGCCGGAGAGGAAACGAGAGAGGGTGGAAAGAGTAAGGAGTGAGACTCAGAGAGTGGAAAGATAGACCGATAGACTCAAAGAACGTTCATCAAAATGGAGAAAACTAATCACAGCCTGACAAGAAGACTCGGATATATACACCCTCAAATTCAAAATGAATTAAGGAGGAACATAAATACTGTGCAAACTCAACCAAAGATCACATGCACTGAAACAAATTAAATACTTCAAAAGCCTGAAAAAAAAAAAAAAAAACCAAAAGACGTTTACTCTAAAAGCCAATTAATGGTAATGGTTTAAAGTCAACATGCAATGGCATTCGCAATCCATTTTATTTCCGTAATGTTATGTACTTCCAAGAACATTCAACAGGAAAAATATGTAGGGCTGGATCTGATTTTATCCATTTGGAATTGATTAATAAAAAGTGGATGTTCTATGCTAGAACAGAGCCCGAGTGTGAGTTTGCAGTTGATTAAAGGGCTACACCATGACCAGCACTCACTTTTGAGGCGAAAAATTAATGTAAAGTTCACTGCTATTAAGAAATTAAATTGCCATTATATTGTAACCTTTTTTACATTAACTAGCACTAAGTGTCTGCATTAATTATTTGTAACATTTTAGAAAAGTAGCTTCAACAATTACTAAACAACTAGTACACTATTGGTCACCAAAAATAAGAGAATAGATCAAACCAATAACTGGTTTGAAATTATATTTTTAAAAGTTATCTTTTTCCACTTAATTGGCTCTTTAATATCAAATTACAGATCAAAATACAGATAAACAAACATAGTGAAAGCCACAAAAATTTTTTTTAAAAGATGTACCATTTAAGTTGGATTAATTGAAATGTTTATTGCCAATAAAACCAGTTCAATTCTTTGTTGACTGCAAAATAAGGTCTAAAAGCAAAAATAAAAATCATTGAATTTTTTATTTGGATATGGGTTCTCAGACATGCAAAATCCATCAATACTCAGCACTGGGCATAAAAGAAAATTATTGGCCAAAATTTATAGGAACATTTAATAATGAATTCAATTATGTCAATTTTCATTTCATGTTGACTTTAAATAAAAGAAATAAAGCACATGAATAATAAGAATAACAGAAACAAAACAAAATAAAGGTAGAGCTAACAAGAACATACCGAAGAGCGTAAACAGACTGTGGGGCGTAACCATCTTTAGAAGGAGAGAGGAGCAAGCGGACAGAGAGAAGAGTCGAGGAAGAGCGGAGATGAACAGATCATCCATAACGGAGGGTGGTTTCCCGCAGAATGGTGAAGTGGTCATGGATCATGGTTCAGGGCGGTTAATTGGGGGGTCCGAAGTTTTGTTCAAGCAAAAAACAAAAAACATGAACAACAAGGTGTGGTCAAGGCATGGCAAAAAGAAGGGATTAAAAAAACAGGATATGAGGGGAGAAAGAAAAAGAGAGAGAGAGAGACAGGATGAAAGAGAGACAAAATCAAAATGGAGAAAAGAGGGAAGCAAATGCAGAAAACAAATGAGGGGGGGACAAAAAATATAATACAGGTCAGTACACAGGAAATGCAGGAGTTTGGTCAGAGAATGGCTGCTTTATGCATTTCTACATTGTATAAGCAAATAACTGTGCCAAATGTAGTTACCCAGTACCAGGGTAAGGATACATTCATACTAAAAAATAAAGAGGAGCATCGGATAATGATAATAATGACCTGAACAACGGCAGAGTTATGACGTTTTTAAGAGGCATGCAGGAGATTGAAGACCAGGAAAAGCTGAAAGCGTCACAGTTTCAAGCATTTGATTCACAGAGTTTTACCCGGTTCTTTGTGATTGCCATGCTTGTGTAGACATGAAACCACCTTTTAAAGTTATGGTGTGGACAGACAAAGTCACAACTGACCCCACATCAATACGTGAGGACTGACGTTTAAATAACACTGAAAATTTGTCGATTTTATCAGATGAGCAAAGGGGTAGTGCCACGTCCATGGTTCATTAGCTTTCAAAGAGTGAGAGCAAGACAGTTTATACAAAAAGAAAGAATGATTTGCTCTGTGGAAGTTACAAGGTATACGACCAGAAAGTTGTTAATCCAGAACTAATGGATTCAGATAATACAATCAATGAGAGTTTGTTGTTATTATAATAAACAAGTGGGTTTAAGAAAGACATGAGACAGTGAACCTCACAAAGAAATGTCTGGGTCATATTTCACCTCAAAATAAAAATGTGAAATTAGACTTTAAATAAAAGTAAATTCAGAATATAATAAGGACATATAATAGTTGGCTTTAGACCCAACAATTTTCTTCACAATTTATACTGTTTGCATTAAATATATTTCCAACAAATACCATGATGGAAACTTACAATTAAATTTAAACTACATGCAATAAAAAAAAAACACGAGTAATAAAAATACAAATTATATTAAAAACAAACAAAAAAATTAATAGTTAGGTTTTTTAAAAATGAAAAATAAAACTTTTTTATTTTTAAAAAATCAATTTGAAATAGTTTTAAAAATTGTCATTATTTAATTGAAAACATAAGCTTTATATTTTGAGGTTGAAATATGACCAGAGTATTTCATTTGAAGTTTTTTGTGAGTTACAATGCAAAATGGGGCAACAGCACTCTGCAAATACAAATAGGACTAAATCTTATAAAGGAAGCGGCATTTTCTATGAGTCTAAACATATAACATGGCATGACATGACAGACAGAAATATGTGAATGTGAAGGAGAGGTTGAGATGTAATAGTACACTGACCTCTTCATTTAGATTGCTAACGAGCAGCACTCCACTGGCTCCCGAGTGCCCAGACAGAGCAACTCTTCCAGCTGCAGCAGCGGCAGCAGCAGCCGCGCTCAACGGGCTCAGAGCACCTGGAATCACACAGGGAGGTGTAAATGGGCATTCTAGTTCAGAAGTTACATTAAAAATTATATTACATGCATGAACATACATAAACAGAACTGCAAAATTTGTAGGGTGATGCTGTATATTTAATAGGTAGCCATTCAGCCAACTTTAACTGTAGAGAAAAGTTAAAGGGGTCATATGATGCTTTTTTAAAGATCATTATTTTGTGTATTTGGTGTAACAGAATATGTTGACATGCTTTAATGTTCAAAAAACACATTATTTTTCAAATACTGTACATTATTGTAAGTCCTCTATGCCCTGCCTCTCTCAAACGCTTCGTTTTCTACAAAGCCCCCTCCTT